GTAAGTGTTAATGCACCACATCAGTCTTAAATAGATTCAAATATATACACAAATATATGAAATGTTATTTATTACACATATTATTACAGACCTTAATTACTCCACAGACATCCAATACCACAGGCTTACCTCAGTTTCATCTTTCTTTATTGAAGTTCCTGATTGTACATGAACCTCATCTGATACCACGCCAATGGAAAATTTTTCACTTTGAACATCAACATCATTTTCCATTTTGATTATACACAGGTTCTGCTGTAGAATTAAAAATAAATCATAAAATTCTGTTAATATCTCAAAAATCGAGGGAAATAATTGTACTCTGAATAATGCATATGAACAATATTGTAGTAATATGACAATGTTCATGCATGCATGCCTGTCATTACAGCTAAACATAAAAAAAATATATGTAATTTAAATTCACACAGTGTGTGGTATTTCCAGAATTCAATACAGATTTCAATCATAGTACATGTTGAAGGATATATTTGAAGTGAAGGGCACACATAACAAATTTCACCCTGGTATCCTCCTCTTCTACACATCTCAAGAACCAAACAATATTGTGTAAACACTACAAAGAATAAATAGTAAATTTTAATGTTATGAAACTGAGATTAAATGTAATACACATACGCATTCCCACTAACCAGTACAAAATTATTTATGTTCTTCCCTTTGGGAGAGAAACCAGGTTTCACACACACAAAAAATACAGGATCTTCAGGAAAAGACATTGTTGTTACAAATCCCAATATTTGCTGATATACTGCACTGGCATTAATAACTTTGGTATCATAGAACATGTAAGAGGTTAGAGTATTCTGATCAATTAGCAGTGCTTCCTAGGCGGGACATTCAGCAAGCATTAATAAGCAAGCTGACATACACTAGTGACCAGTGTGTGATTTGTATGAAACAGTTTGTTTTATCAAACTGGAAGTGTTGTATGATGCAGCGCGAGTTTAGAGTGAGACTGCAGAGAAAGTCCGAAAAAAATCAACTATTTAAATGTGTGACATTTAGACATTTGAATGAACATTCTCAATATATGGCCAACTCTGACTGAAATCCTGGATGATTTGGACTTACATAAACCTGTCCAAAGTACTCACCACAACTGAATCTCTGATTATTTTTTTCAGGATTATAGAAGGGCAGGAAAAATTAGTTCTCAGACTGATACCACACCCACTGGGTTATCGGAATATTATATTAAGAATCAATCAGTTAATAATGCAACAAATACATACATAACCAAAATTCAAGTATCTCTTCTTCATAGTTTTCCAAATCACTAATTTCCTCTACTTTCTGAAGAAATTCAAAGTAGCTCCTGCATGGAAACACAATATCCTGAGAAGCCGCCTACAAAAGAATGAGACGCATGCCTCACAAGTCATACGCTCTGTGAGGTTTGTGAACAAGGATGGCCAACGAGAAAAAAACAATTCATTACACATGTTATCATGTGACGACTACAGATGTATCTTGTGTCATGCAATAAGCCTACATATTCAAGTGAATTAATGCCTGTAAAATTAGGAGGAAGATATGTATAACAAAATTGAAGAAAAAGAAGGTAAAGTATTTCACTAGTACCAAAAGCGATGAAAAAATGCTATTGCATTACTTAAAACATAACAAAAATTATATTTGAAAAATATAATAAGAATTTACAAAACAGAAATGTCTCCAGAATGTGATCTGCTTAGACTAGAAAGTGAACGAATTCAATTTTGTAAGTACAAAATACATTAAATTATTTATTCAGATTGGAAAGAAAAATTACGGTTCGCAGTAAAGTTACACAAAAACGGGAAATCGTACATAATGATGATAACACTGGACGGAAATATATTCTTCTAGTGAATGGTCGGTGAATTGAATGTGTGAAAAGTGACGAACAAGAAAAACCAAAAATATAATAAATTATGTATAACGTACCCTTCCACAGATGTTAGGAATTTTGTCACACTCTTTGAAAAGGATGGACAACTCTCGAAGAATATAACTTGGTTTTTTTACCCTCTGCCTCATCTTCATAAGCTACGTTATGTTGTACTCACTGATTTAATGAGTATAACCTCACTTTGAGACTTCGTGCAGACAAAATTAACTCGCCTTACAAACCGATATTTATCAACCCACTATATGTACAAAAAGCTTCGGCCCAATTATTAAACTGCTTTTAAAAACTCATTCCCCCTTTGAACTTTTTTTAAAAACATATTTCTCCACTATGCAATGTCTATCGGTAACCTATCTAGATGCAAAATACATCCCAGTAGTATGTAATTTTTATCGCTACATGAACAAGTTACATGCATGCACATTTATTTGTTGCAATCGTATTTTGGTGATCATTAAAGTAACGGCCACTTCGTAGTACGGACTAATGTTTGCGGCTTGTAATTAGTAATGGTAAAAATCGAATAACTGGTGAATAATTCGCAAATTATAAACTTAGCACTTAAGCGACCCATTCTTCAGCTCGCCGCGGGTCACAACATCTCCTCCATTCCTCTCTGTCGCGTGCTCGGGTCGTCCTTTGTATGATGGTTTGTTTTTTTGTCACCAGTCTTCCAACTCGTTTGATGCAGTCCTACATTTTCGCCTATCTTGCGTAAATCTCTTCATTTCCACATAGTTTTTACAGCCCACATCCTATCCTGAACTTTCCTTTCACTTCGTTCATTGCTTCTTCAACATTCAAGTTAGACAGCAGGGGCGATAGGCTGCATCCTTGCCTTACTCCCTTTTTAATAAATGCCTTTCCTTTCTCGATTCTCCGCTTTTATTATGGCCACCTGATGCTTATAAATATTGTAAATAACTCGTCTATCTTTATACTTCAGCCCTACCTTCAAGATTTCAAGCATCTTATTCCAATTTACATTGTCAAAAGCCTTCTCCAAGTCTACAAATGTTATAATTGTGTCTTTATTTTTCTTAATCCGTTCTTCTATTATTAAACCTAAAGCCAGAATTGCCTCTCGAGTACCCGTACTTTTTCTAAAACCAAACTGATCCTCAACTAATGCCTCTTCAACTTTCCTTTCTATTCTTCTGTATATTATTCTAGTTAATAATTTTCATCCATGAGATATCGAGTTGATTGTGCGGTAGTTCTCACATTGGTCTGCTCTCGCTTTCTTGGGAAGTGTGAAGATAATGTTCTTTTGGAAGTCTGACGGCATTTCCTTTTTTAGTATGCTCCATTCTTCTTCCATCAAATTACCTTCAGTGATTTTCTTTTAACCCTGAGATAACAGCCTCGCTCCATTATCTTTTAATCTATCGATGTCCCATCTGTTTGCACCATGTTTATTATTTATTCTTTTGAATTTCAGCCTACACTTCATCATCACTAAATTATTATCTGAGTCAATGTCTGCCCCTGGGCATGCTCTGCAATCCAAAATTTGATTTCTGAATCTCTGTCTAACCATAATATGATCCAGCTGGTACTTTCTTGTATCCCCCCGGTCTGGTCCGTGTATATATTCTCTTGTGATTTTTAAAAAGTGTGTTTGATACAACTAGTTGATATTTTTCACAAAATTCTAAAAGCCTACTTCCTTTCTCATTCCTTTCCCCTAGACCATATTCTCCAGTAATATTGCCTTCCTTTCCTTCTCCCAGTCTCCCATGATTATCAAATTTTCATCATCTTTTACATACTTAATTCCTCATATATTTTCTCTATTTCATCTTCTTCTGCTTGTGAGGTGGACATGTAAACCTGTAAGATGGTTGTTGGTTTTGTTTTGATTCTGATAAGAATAACTCTATCATTGTATTGCTCATAGTAACTGACTCTATTACCTAATTTTTTGTTCATTAAAATTCCCACTCCCATAACACCATTCCCTGAGGATGTGCTTATTACTCTATAGTCCCCTGACCAGAAATCTTGTTCGTCTTTCCATTTTACCTCACTTATCCCCACTAAATCCAATTTCAACTTATTCATTTCTTTCTTCAGATTTTCCAGTTTCCCAGCCCTATTCAAACTCCTAACATTCCACTCTCTGAATTGGAGAACGTTAGTTTTATCCATTTTCTTTCTTTCCCCTTTTTATGGCCTCCCTCCGAGTAGTTCCATGGCCACATAAATTTCTGACGTTGTACTCGACGATAAGACAGTCTGCCCAATGAGCAGGGGGCCGACCCGGCGGACGCTTCCTGTCTCGTGGGTACCACGTCAAAGTGGTAGTACTCCATCTGCCATCGTTTCGCCTCACGACGTGACCTGCCCAGTGGTGCTTCTGCTTCGTCACATGCCGTAATGGGCCTTAAAGCCTTGCATCCGTCTGATGTCATCAGAGTGAAGATGGCGGTCTCTCTGCTGGTGTAAGGTGACCAAGAAGTCGACACTCAAGGGAGGCATGGGCGACTTGAAATTGCTCCGCAAAGCCCTTAGTAAGCGTCCACGTCCCGGCGCCGTAGCAAAGTGCCGGCAGTACGATGGAGTCGAAGAGTTGAGTGCGTAGTTTTACGGCTTGCGTCGATCATCCTTTAAATAAATTTATATTCTCCTGCGAAGTTGTTAAGCTACTTTAGAAACACGGTGTATATTACACTAACAAGCCAGAATGTCAATTCATGCCGAAATCGGAGCTGATAAATTTCAGGGAATGCTTGCTATTAATCTGTCCAAAAACTTTTGTCCTAACGCCTAATATAAAAACAAAGACTAAAGTACACAAGAGTGTAATTTCGACATTGGGATCACTAAATACCAGGAGTATGTTGATCGTCTGTGCTTTTAAAAAATAACACTGCCTTTCGGAAGCTGGATCTACTTCCTTCCTCAGTTTATAAAGGGGGGAAGGGAACCTACACAGTTGGGTCAGACAGAAAGAGTTCAACTGTCTCTGAACCATTCAAAATTGACTTTCGCCAGTTGTGCTGTATAGGTGTGAAACTTGGTCTCTGACTTTGAGGAACATGGATTGAGGGACTCAGAACAGTTTCTTGAGGTAAAAATTCGGGCCTAAATGGGAGGGGAATGTATCATTTGCATTGTGACAGCAGAAAAAGTCATATTCATGATGGGACAATAGTTACTTTAATCTGGGTATGCAGTAATACTTCTGCAGACTCTTCTGATAATAGGAAGACTTTGCAGTTGGGTTGTTGTGAGCAGATGTGTTTGGGAAAGAGCTGTTAATAATGGGTTGCTACCTGGAGGACTACCAAGCAGGCGTGGGTACCTGGGCAGGGAGGACTTCATGGAGTACTGTACAAGGACGAGACAGATTTGGACATGGTGGAAATTACTTAGGGAATACGATTCTGTGTGCAGTGGCTTTAGCTGTGCTGTTGATAAAAATGATTTTTTACAGATAAGACAGAAATATGGCCGCTCCCCAAGGTGGATGTGTAGATGTATCTTAAGAACACTCCTCCGGCTAAATGACCCATTAGACAAATCACAGGAATATGGTCTTTCTCCACTGTGCGGACGCTGATGTGCCTTCAGATGACTTTGTAGATTGAATGATTTGTTACATACATCACAGGAATATGGACGCTCCCCACTGTGCATAAGGTGATGTACCTTCAAATAACTTCTATGGCTGAATGATTTATTACACACATCACAGGAATATGGACAGTCCCCATTGTGTATGCGTTGATGAATCTTCAGTGTAGTTTGAAGAGTGAATGATTTATGACACATATCACAGGAATATGGCCTTTCTCCACTGTGCACACGCTGATGTGCCTTCAGATGACTCTGTTGAATGAATGATTTGTTACACACATCACAGGAATATGGACAGTCCCCATTGTGTATGCGTTGATGAATCTTCAGTGTAGTTTGAAGAGTGAATGATTTATGACACATTTCACAGGAATACGGATGCTCACCATCATGTAATAAGTCCTGTTCATTCGGAGGACTCTAGCAAACAAATTGAGAAAAATAATATTATTACAAATCTTATTAGGAAGAAGAATGAAACTGAAAACAAGACATAAGCAAGCCCAATAAATATTGCTTTAATAAAGTTATGTTCTTTTCAGAACAGATTTATTTTCTCAGTGAGATAGCATTATATTTCCTATTTCATTTAGTTCCTGGCTACCTGTGACAAATAGGTTAATTCACTTGCCAAGACCGTAATTTTATACATAGCAAACAAACTCTTGACTGACAGCAAGCAGCAATGCAAAAGAGTTACATATTCAAACCACATATTCACATTCCATAACACAATGTCCGAGTTTAAGTTTGCTTCACCCAACCAGATTCCCTGTTAGAAAACCCGAATCAAATTTATTAGTCTGATGGGGAGAGAAAAAAGAGAAAATAACCAATCTATTTTTTGGTATCTAAAGAATCAAAAAGCAGATACACACTGATGTAGTCATAATGGTGACATATAATTCTACGCATTATAATGAATCTTCTGATAAAAATCTTTCAAACAATATAGTTTACCATTAACTGGGTTCAATCTACAGTACAGATAAGAGTGAAAGGAGAATCTAAAACAATTAAACCTCAAGTTCACTCACATTCAACTAAATCAACAATGATTTTATATTACTACTTGCATCATCTACTTATTAACCTTTTGTAATCCTTGCATCTCTTTATCCTGAGAACAGAATCTCATAAACACTGAACAGGTCAGATTGGCAAACAAAAGAAAATGCAACCATTCTGACACATTCACAGCAATTTGGCCTCTGAGAATGCTGCCAGTGACATCAGAGGTGTTTGGGGCAGGTGACCTTAGCTTCAGTAGGGTGTCTGGCCTCTGTTCGTAGTGCGGACTAATGTTCGCGGTTTCTAATTAGTAATGGTAAAAATCAAATAACTGGTGAATAATTTGCAAATTATAAACCACACTAATAATATATATTACACAAACAAGTCAGTATGGCAATTCATGATGAAATCCATAGAAGATTAATTTCAGGGAATGCTTGCTATTATTCAGTCCAAAATGTTTCGTCCTTACTCCTAATATAATTACAAAGACTAAAGTACTCAGAAGTGTAATTTTGGCATCGACAAGACTAAATTCTTGGACTGTGTCAATCGTCTGTGTTTTTGAAGCTGGATCTACTTCATTCCTCAGTTTATAAAGTGGGGTAGGGCACTTACTCAGTTGGGTCAGACACTGGACCCTTCATTATTGATTTGTAAGTTTGCAAGTTGTGCTCTATGGGTGAGGAACATGGTCTCTCACTTTGAGGAAAATATTTGGGCCTACATGGGAGGGGAATGTATCACATAGAAAATTGCACAATGAAGAGCTTCATGGCCTATAAGATCAAGAATTAGTTGGATCTATACTACCTCTCCCCCAAACGCCTACATGGCGTGTATCGAGACAACTTTACTTTACTTACCATTCATTACAGTAGTTATTGCTTCCTGCATAAATTATCTGCATTGCCAGAGCACAGATCCTTGTCAGGAAGTAATACTTATTTAAAAGCGTCTCATCATGGATTGTAGTTCCATGTTCAGGTTTATGACAGCTGGGTTCCCTCTGGCAGGCTGCCATGCAAATACATCATTCATTCTACAAACAGAAAACATGTTACCACATAAAAAATTATGTTCAAGTGTTGTGGAAAGAGATATGTTTAAGAATCACATGAAAATTTTACAGAGAATCTGAACACATTTCTGCTGAACTGCTTTATAATTTTGAATGTAAGACTGGAAAGTGACATGGTTACTTCAAAGTTGCTGCTAACCACCCCACAGGAGAAACAGTATTATAAAAATTTGATTTTTGTTCCTGTAGGGGTAATATATACACAAACTAAAATTAATTCTTGCCTTTTCTGCGGAGTCTGAATGAGCCTGAAGCAGAGTTGATCAACACCTGGGCACAGCATAACTAGCATATATAGTCCTCGATATCAAAGTTGAGGAGGTCGGAGGTGTGAAAGAGAAGGATGAAGATCATGTCTTCATTTCATATAATGACAATCAAGTCACCATTATCAAAGTTGAGGAGGTCAGAGGTCCGAATGAACAGGACTTGTTGCATGATGGTGAGCGTCCGTATTCCTGTGATATGTGTCATAAAACATTCACTCTTCAAACTACACTGAAGAATCATCAACGCATACACAATGGGGACCGTCCATATTCCTGTAATGTGTGCAATAAATCATTCCATCTACAGAGTCATCTGAAAGCAGATCAGCGTAAGGAGAGTGGAGAAAGGGCATATTCCTGTGATGTGTGTAACAAATCATTCATTCAACGGAGTCATCCGAAGGCACATCAGCATACGCAGTGGAGAAAGGACATATTCCTGTGATATGTGTCATAAATCATTCACTCGTCAAACTACACTGAAGATTCATCAACGCATACACAGTGAGGACTGTCCATATTTCTGTGATGTGTGTAATAAGTCATTCAGCCATAGAAGTCGTTTGAAGGTACATCACCTTATGCACAGTGGGGAGCGTCCATATTCCTGTGATGTATGTAACAAATCATTCAATCTACAAAGTCATCTGAAGGCTCATCAGCGTACGCACAGTGGAGAAAGGCCATATTCTTGTGATTTGTGCAATGGGTCATTCAGCCGGAGGAGTGTTCTTAAGATACATCTACGCATCCACAGTGGGGAGCGACCATATATCTGTGATATCTGTAAAAAATCGTTCGTTCAGAAGGATTCTTTGGAGAAACATCTACTTATACATGGTAGACAGCAGCCACATTTATGAGATGTATATCATAAATGATTTCTTTACCAGCGTAATCTCATTATTGACTACACTGTATTTCAGTGACATTAATTCTATTCTTTAATAGAATAATCCAATGAGTCAATACATGGGAGGGGTGTGCATATTCTTGTGAGATATGTAAGTCTTTCTATTATCAGAAGAGTCTTCTTCTTCTTCTGTGGCTCTCCGCTCCATATTCGGTCCATGGTCTCCTCAATTCTCCTCTTCCATTTGGTCCTCTTCCTTTTACGGTGCAAGGTTGTTAGCCTTGCAACCAACCTTCAACCTGGAGGACCAAGGTACCTGTCTTAGTCTGACCTCTCCCCCTCGACCAATCTGGCTAGGGAGGCCCTACCAGTAGCTATGCTACTGCCAGCATAGCTCTTGGGATCACTGAGGTACTCAAGCCCCACCACCACGACAAGGTGCAGGTACCATTAAGTGAGGATCAGAAGAGTCTGCAGAAGTATTATTGCATACCCAGATTAAAGTAAATTGTCCCATCATGAATAAGACGTTTTCTGCTGTCAGAATGCAAATGAATACCTACTCATGCACATTTGTGTTGTACAGGAATAGTATCCAGGATAGGAATAGTATTTGTGCATTTGAGGCAAAGGGCAGTCACATTCTTGTGTAATAAAATGATGAGAATTGCAATAAAATCTTCTTGCATCATGTGTTGCATTATCTGTATAACATTCATTCATCAAACAAGTAAAACAGTAACAGTGAGGTCTTTTTGGTGTAACAATTTAATTCAGTTTATTACTTCCAAAACATTTTAAAACTGTTTCATTGGTATGGAAATGCTATATAATTTTCTAGATGTGTTAAGCATCTGTCATTGTTATTTTCAGTTGGATATTTTACTGACAGTTCAAAATAATCTTACTAATCATCAGGTTACATGCGGGTCAAACAAGGGTATAAGTTGCAATGGCTGTGTTATAGATAGCCCACCTTCGGAATGCTTCTTCTTCTTCCCTTTCTTGACCATTACTTTGGTCTTCTGGTGCCTAATAATTTCTTCCATTCTCCTCTATTTTCCCATCCTAACGGAGGCAGTTTCCACTCTATCGTGGTTCTTGTAATTCTGTCGTTCCATCCTGGTCTCGGTCGACCTCTCTTCCTTCTCTCTTTTGGTAACCTTTCCTCCTCCATCCTTTGCACGTGTCCATACCAAATCAGTTGTCTTTTCTCTATCTCCTCAATTATATCTCGGTCCACCCTCATGATTTCTCTAATCCTTTCATTCCTCACTCTCTCTCTTCTGGATATTCTAGCCGCTCTTGTTAGGAAATCCATTTCCATTATTTTCAACTTCTTTTTTTTGTTCCGAAAGTTGCCAAATTTCTGCTCCATATAGAGCCACGCTTTGTATCATCGTTTTATATATTCTCACTTTCCTTCTATTTGTGATGTTTTTCTCCCATGATATTGGGTTGAGGGCTCCTATGAGTCTTCTTCCTTGTTTTATTCTTTCCTCTGTTTCAATTTCATACATCCCTTGGTTCCCTATCCTCACTCCTAGATATTTAATCTTTTCTGTCCTCTTTAATAAATCTCCTGTTTCCATTATCAGTGCGTCATTAGTATTTCCTATATTCCAATACATTGTCTTATCTAAATTTAATGGTAATCCCCAGATTTCATATTCTTCTTTTACTTTCCTCTTCATAAATTCCAGGTCTCCTTCTGTTTGTGCTATTATCACTTGGTCATCAGCGAATTGTAGTGTATACATTGTTGTATCTTCGTCTAATGGTATGCCCACTCCCTTACACCTTTTTAATACTTCATTTATATATATTTTAAAGAGTGTCGGCGACATTCTGCAGCCTTGTCTCAAACCTTTTGTTATCCAAAACGTTGTTGTCAGTCTCTTTCCTAGTTTTACCTGTCCTTGATCTTCATAGAGAAGTTCTACTGCCTTTATTAATGTTTTTCTTACCTTACTCATCTCTAGGGCTTCCCATAATTTATTCACCGGTACATTATCATATGCTTTTGTTATATCGAGGAAGATCATATGTAGCTCTCTTCCCGTTTTTCCCAATTTCAGGTACTTTGTGATGTACAGTGCTACCATTTGTATGTTCCTTTGTGCTTGTTTCTCTCTTGATGTCAATTCTTCAGTTCTACTCGTCGATAACTACAATAATAATGGTAAAGACGTTAAATATTTACCAGTCTTTCCTCTTCATTTATTATACACATTATTCTTATTATTCATTAAGGACAACTTTATCGTTTGCAACATTGACGGTTAAGCTCTTGGCTTGCTTCGGTCATGAGAATAAAATATTTTCTCACATAACTTTTCCTGGCCTCCTTTGAATCACTCTTCAACCGCTCGGTTTATATAAATGCAACAGCTTCTGGGTTCGATTTTAATTCATTCTTTAAAATTTTCAAGCGATTTATTGTACTGATATCGATTATTCTCAGCTTGTCTCTAAGTTCTTAGGTCTAATTACGTGACCATGTCGTTATTTATCTGCCTAATAGTAATTTAGGACCTTTAAGTATTGTTGATCTTCATCAAGAGTTCCCAACCTTCTAAGACCTAAGGCCACAATCACACTTTTTTGTTAACTCGCCGGTTGTTGGGTTAATAAACTGAAACTTCGTGAAAATGTATTAAAGTTGCTATTTACATAGGCCTACTGTTGTGAACAGATTCTCAGAACTCAGTTATATCCAACAAATCTATTGATCTGTTTTATTAATTTTGCACTTTAGACCAAAACGTTGTCTTAGAAGGCAACTATTTATTCATTATACGGATGATACGTACAGTATTACAAAAATGTATGTTGGCCGCACAAAATACATCTGCGGGCCACTGGTTGATAAACCCTGCTCTGCATCATCGTCACTAAACGTTTAACCTCCTTTGCATCTCTCGTGTTTCTTGTCATGTTCCGTCCACTTCATTGTTTCTCAGCACGTTTCGTCGAGCGGTGTTTGTCACCTGTTTCTCGTTCACACTGCATTCTGTAGGTGGCAGTGAATAAGCTCTCTTCACTTCACGCTACAACCCGTAATGTCGCCGTTATCTAATAGTGAACTTGAATAACGGACCCACTGAACGTCGCTTAACTCAGGTCAGACCGTCTGGCACACAGCAACGTAATACCAGATCTGGATGCTGTTGGTTATAGGAGGATATGTATCATTGCTGTTTGTGGGTCAGAAACTAATAATGCAATGAACTTTTCAACTGATAGTTAATAGTTTAAAATTGCTTCCCTTCTGGATTATTTTTGTTAAATGGTTATTTTCCATGCCATGAGTTTGAATCTTGCTTTGCATTTGCCCTCGTACGAAACTCGTCCAGGAATGTATATAATAAAAACAAGGCTTATATTGGGTTTTCTCAAATAATGTAACAGTACTCCAATACAATATATCACGTTCGCTTTCTTCAGTCTCAAACTCATGAATCTTCTATATATATATATATATATATATATTTAAAAATTGTAACGCTTTCCCGCAACTATCGTTTTCCTGTATTCATCGTTTCTATTTCCCACCCCCGCCGAAAACAATGCATCGAGGTGTCACTGTAGTAAGAATGCATGGAACTACAGTTCCATTTAGTCATATCTCATCATACGGTGATTGGTTAAAGCACATGGATATGTCCCCACACCTTATGCATGAGTAAAGCACACGAATAACTCCACCGTCTTTACCTTTTTCATAAACTGAGACACAGGTAGAACTTTAAAGATACAGGTAGATTCTCACAGTTAGAAGGAAAACTCAGGGAAATGACAAATATATGTCAGGTATGTGTCCCGCGATGTAGCCAGGATTCTCCTCCTCCTTTTTCACACCTCCGACATCCTCAACTTTGATATCGATGACTTGATTGTCATCATAACAAATCTCGAGACTCGTTTCACCATAAGAATCAGGTACAACTTTCTGTAAATTCATGGAGTCCTGTAAAATAACCATACTCATTATGAGTCTTGACTCTGCGCTCTCACTGCATGAAATGGAATAATTATCAATACAATTGTACTGAATCAAACTAATAGCAGCTGCGGAACATCTTTAATGGAGCCTGACGATGGTGCATTTTATTTACTATTGCTGTATTTCTTTACATGATCCATCACTTGATATTTTAAAACAAGATCACTACGATCTGGGAACTAGATTTGCTCTGGTCCCATACATGGAACTAATCCCAAAGAATTAATAAGACTCTTCTATGGGACAAATCAGAATAGGTATTTTCACCTTAAGACTAGAGCAGATTCAGCTCTCAAAATATAGCGGATCTATTTTAGAATACCAAACTATGGACAAAGTCTAAAAAAACACCAACATGCAATCATAGTAGCTGTTTCATTAAGATTTTCTTTCTTATAACTATCAAAACCATTACTATAAAAAGGATTTTTCTAATACAAATATCACTTCAATAGAATTGTCTCCATGTAATATGAAATCAAAGACATCCACATCAGTTTACTCGGCATGTTCATGCCAAAGCAGTGACAATGGCTGATCTGATTATGGCTTGGTTTACGTAATGACACAGTAAAGCACATATTCAATGGTCACAAAAAATTTTGTTACGGGGTTTATTCCATAGTTACATGTACACACCATGAATAAAATGCACACAATAAAGAAATTACATTTTGTTCTGGACAGAAATACCGAGCAAAGTATCACATTAACGCTCCTCCCTCCAAGCCGACTTTATATATGAAGTCAAGTTAACCTCTTAAATATTTGATTCAATCAAAGATGTGCCAAAACGACAGAGCAAAAGAGAATATTTGGGTCTATGGAAACAAAGTCAAAAACAAAGCACAAAATGTTATGATGCAATTTGCTTCTTCATTAAAAGGCTCCATGGCTGCAAATTTATCTCCTGATCAAAGTTTAATATTACATAGTCAATGTTATCTTCCCATATGGAAAGAGTTAATGATGCTTAACAGAAATGATAACACTGTTCTAATAAATCAGTACAATTTGTATCAAGATACAAAAGATAATCTTAAAACATTCATAGTTCCGGTGAATTGTATAGCAGGCAGTATTTTGTATACAAAGCCCACAAATTATACAAGATTTAAGGCCACATTTGTTAAAAATATTTCTCAATTTGGTCAATGATTATTTTACATGTTTTAAAACTGATGCAACAGAAGTTTAAAATGGTATTTCATAAACACTGAGCAACAAAATTCAGTCCCCTGGCACCATTTTGCAAATGACACTTCAAAATATTTTCACCAGAGTAGAATTGCTTCGTGTGGAGATGGACAAGAGAAACACAATAGGTAATCCTACACATTTCTTAAAAGTTAATTGTAATGTACAACTCACCGTATGTTCACACTTTATTAATGGATGTTTTGTTATAGGATCCTCCTCTTCTTGTGTATCAGCAACTTCCTCAGTTCTTATATTCATCATCTGCGAAAGAAGTCGTTACACATGTCTCATTCTATGAACGAGGTACAACTTTTAGTAAAATTAAGTTATGCGAAACCTCCATACTTGATGCTGATCATGACCACGTTTTGTCCACTTACAATTTCCATGTAAAATGTAATCATAACGCAATAAGACATGCTTGCAAAATAAAGGGCTAGCACAAGGATCGATAACCTTTCTTGGCTGATAGGTAACTTGGAGGAGCTGATAATTATATCGAGCATCATAAAAGAGCGTCTATATATATCTGGACTGAAAAAATTAGACTACAATTGTGGTAATGCATGTGCTGTACGAACAGCCTCAAGAACAACTTAACAAAATAAACGTAAAATCGAATGTTTCATTTCTTTACTGAACTAAGCTGCTGAACAGACTAGTTCCCAGGCAGTCAAGAAATTAGCCACATATACGGAACCCAAAGGTTTACAGAGTTGAGTTCAAAGAGCGTGCCACTAGTTGCTATCCTTAGCCACAAGGATCCAGTCCTTGTGATTATATATTACTTCTTTAACAACTATTTTAATATTATCCTCCCATCTATACCTTCATCCACCAAGGGGTCTTATCTATTCTAGTTTTCTAACTGAATTCTTGTATTTATTTTTAATGTTTACATTCACCACACATCCTCCTTGATTTGATAACCATGAATTAATATTTGATGTAGACAGATGATTAAGAAGCTCCACATTAACCGTCTTCTCCAGTCCCCATTATTTCCTTCAGTGTTCCAAATATTGTGCTCTGTACCAAACTGTCAAAAAGCATCAACGAATGTTCTTCCCTTAACCCTT